AATATTAGCACCAAGCTAACACTTAAAGCACTGAACACTTAAAGCCTGAAACAGAAACAGACCCTTCCTGACTTTATATCCTGGAGTTTTTTCAGTCTCTCTAGAGTCTTTCGAGTGTGGCAGTACAGACGAGTCGAGCGCTTGTTGTGTTCAGTGATATGACGTCTCATAGACCCAAATTATGTTCCAGGGCACAAAGATGATCCTGATAAATGTTATTAAATGTCTATAATTACTTTTTAATAGCTTCTAATGTCCATTATAACACATACTGGTTCTGAAGAGCAACAACGCTCCAGTATTAACAGATAATAATTTAATGCAAGTTAACACAAGAAAAGGTGATCACAATCTGAATTTACAGTCACAGGCATTTCAAGAATGCAGTTTATAACAACCTTTAAAATATTACATATTTAGTTACAGAGCTTTTGACACATATACTCTCAAAGATACTGTGTACACATAAAAGTATTAATGGACGTGGTGTGTCTATGTGTGCTATGTATTTATGTGTGCTTGTGTATTGTTACCTGACATTTACCATTTTTGGGAATCTGTTATATGGTAGTACTACAATCCCAAAGACAAATGTAATATAAACAAAGCAATGAAATATTTTGTATAGTCAGTATTTACTTTATGGATGGCTGACAATATTTTTTGGGACAGTCCTGAAAAAAGTTAGTCTGGAGCAACGATGTCTGCAGGTTTTCATTCTAAGCTAGTCATAGCGCACCTGATTCTGCTCATAAAAATCAGTCATTCAAGCTACTGTTTTGGTGGAATGAAAACCTGCATGAATGAAAACACTGGCCTTTGCTAATACGACCTTAAGTGGTTTAGTACAGTTACACTAGTTACAGAAGCCATTCAATTTTATGATTATATGTAATCGTCACACCTTTCCTGTCGAATCAAATTTGCAGCTGCTGTCATTTTGTTAAAAACTAGCACTTCCCTGTGAACCAAAGCCTACATTAGTATGATAACTTGATAAAAACTGCTTCCATCAACATCATATACTGACAGGAATGGGTTGAACAGGCAGCATTAAGTACAGGTGAACATAATCCTTAATCAGAGACTCACAGTGAGGATCAGAGCTTCTTCAAGGAAACTCAATGAAAAGTCAAATACATGAACCTAACATATGCTGGTGTCAAATATGAGCTTACCCAAACATATTTAAAGAGGAATTCAACATTTTTATAATTTTCTGCATAATTGAGTGGTTAAGATGTAAACAATATCATTTGGGGTGGTTTGATGCGAAATTCTACCAACTAGAGAAATGTATCAAGGCAGAGTTCCTCACAATGGTGGTGGTAGGAACCAGACATCTGACGAGTTTAAGCCTCTGAAAGCTCCATCACAGTTGTGCGGGTAAGCAGCCCCCAAAGAAGCCTTCATTTTAGATTTAACACTATTTTACCCTCACATATAAATCTCAGAAGACGTGCAGGTTCACTGGTGGTTTTGGATAGTAAATAAAATGGCTGTATTTGTGTTGTAGACATTGTGACCCCTGGTTCCGATCATCACCACTGTGAGAAATCTGAGTCAGTAAGTTTCTCTACAATGAACCATTTCAGACCAAACCACTCTGAATGACTTTGTTTACATCTCAACAACATTGTTCAGATAATAATTACACAAAAATTAAAAAAATATGGTGAAAGGTCCAAATTACTTTTAGGGAAACTAAGGCTGAATCTAAAATGGTTCCCTATGCGGTGCACTATAGGTAAACGGCTTCAACACTCGGTAACACTTTATTTGGAGTGGTCCTTTGTAGATGATTAGTAAACTAATAGAGTATCAGTAACACATCAACAACGCATCAGTGAAGTAGCTGCAGTGAAGCGTCCGAATACACTGAAGTAAATATCTTGTAGATGCTCTGTTGACACAGGACGTACATTAAGTAGATATACTGTTAATACGTTACTTCCATTACGCAAAACCTAACCTTACCCAGAACCTAACCCTTACCCTGGCCCTCATCCTAACCTTAACTTTAAACTCAACCCAAAACTTAATCCTAACACTCACCCTGGCCCTCATCCTAACCTTAACTTTAAACTCAACCCAAAACTTAATCCTAACACTCACCCTGGCCCTAATCCTAACCTTAACCTTAACCCCAACCCAAAACCTAATCCTAACCCTCACACTGGCCCTAATCCTAACCCTAACTTTAACCTCAACCCAAAACTTAATCCTAACTCTCACCCTGGCCCTAATCCTAACCTTAACCTTAACCCCAACCCAAAACCTAATCCTAACCCTCACACTGGCCTTAATCCTAACCCTAACCTTAACTTCAACCCAAAACCTAATCCTAACCCTCACACCAATAATGTATTCTATGTCTAATATAGAGGCATTTATATTCAGCCATAATCTGACATTTGGAGCACTACCTGGGTGTAAAAGCCACAGGGTCATGACCTGTGCAGTAGACTATACAGGGAGTAGGGAGCCATTTGAGAGTCAGATTAAAACTACACTGAAACCTCATTCATACGTGGCCTTGTTTCTCCATAATGAGGCAGGAACTATTATAGTCTGCAAGGAAGTGTATCTAAATTTACTAAAATCTACTCTGAAGCTCAGTCCCAAACACGCTTAGTGCTCTCAGACGCAGCTCTTATTCCAAAAATCTACAGTATTATTATTGGAAACTATTTCTATACCGCTGTATAATACTTATATCTGTTATATTTGCATCTCCTTTACTATTCCTGTAGTACTGTATTATAATGTGTAGTCAAATACATTAACTGTCCCAATTAACTATACGATTCCTGCTGTATTGCTACAGATCTTTTCCATAAGGGAAAGCACTGTGTGAGTGGAGCTAACACTGTCGCTGACCAGCCCCCAGCTGAGGAAATCCACAGAGGCTATAGTAAGTCTTGAACAAGAATTTTACCAATGTGTTTCGAACTTTCTGTATTATTTAACGATCGAAGGGGAACTCCACCCATTTTCCAAAATTTCTATGTAATTAAATGGTTAAGATGTAAACAGAGTCATTTGGAGTGGTTTGGTCTGAAATGCTCTGTTCTAGAGAAACTTGCCGAGTCAGAATTGTTCACAGTGGTGATGACAGGAACCAGATGTCTGAAGAGTTTAATATCTCTGAAAGCTCCCTCACAGAATGTTATTACATTAAATGGCTAAATAAATGCTGCCTGATGTTTGTCATATTATGATGGACAGATCTGTGATAACGTTTTGGCTTAAAATGTATTTTCATCCATTTATTTAATCCATTCATGGTGGAGGGGTACACATAGGGCACTGTCCCCCAAGAAAACTAATTATTTTCAGATTTACCACTGTTTTACCAACATTATATTTAAAAAAATCAGAAGACATGTGTAGGATACCTGGAGATTCTGAGTAGTAAATAAATTGTCTATATTTGTATTGTAGACATGGGGACCTCTGGTTCCTATCAGCACCACTGTAAAGATATCTGAGTCTCTACAATGAAACCAATTCACATCAAACCACTCTGAATGATTCTACTTACTTTGGAAAATTGTCAAAATTGGTGGAATTGTCCTTAAGATGTTAGCAAAGTGAGTGTTTTGATGTAAAATGTTCAATTCTAGAGAAACTTACCCTACTGAGTCAGAACCGTTCGCAGTGGTGGTGATAGGAAGCAGACATCTGAAGAGCTTAATGCCTCCATAATAAAGCTATTACATGATATATTACGTAATTATTACTAATAAATACACCTAAATACCTATCACATCGTTTTAGGATAGGTTTGAGAGGAGGCTTTGGCCTAAAATGTTATTTTTCCCACTACACCAAAAGTACACGGTTGTTGTAAGGAAAACAGTACCCAAAGAAAGCTATTTATTTTAGATTTACCACTATGTTACCATCATCAACATTACATTTAAAAACTCAGAAGACAAATGTATGTTCACTGGTGGTTCTGAATAGTAAATAAAAGGTCTATATTTGTATTGAAGACATGGTGACCCCTGGTTCCCATCAACACCACTGTAAAGAAATGCAGTTGATAGGTTTCTCTAAGATGGACCATTTCACATCAAATCACTCACTGGCTTCCCATCTCAGCGACTGAATTATGCAGAAATTTGGAAAAATCAGTGGAATACCCCGTTTAAACCTGGACGTGGCTCTGCGCTGAGAGGTGGTAGCTGTGAGGCATCGTGGTAAATCTGTTAAAAATACCCTCCACTGTCCCAGTGCCCTATTTGCCAAGCCATATATGGCCACACTGACATTCAGTGTTTGGCAGCTTGGAGCAGCTGCTGCTGCTGCATTCCCGTTCACCACAGCGGCCGTGCAGAGCAAACAAGCTGCGTTTTCAGTTCAGCTTGGTTGAAGTTGAAGTGCACCACCATCCACACAAACCACAACACTTACAAAGGCAAGGGCAGAATAAAAGCTGCTGCCCAACCTGTCCAACTCCCCCTATGAACCGTGTTTTGTTTGTGTTTGTGTGTACTTTCGCGGCGAGGCTGAAGTTAGCTTCTTTTTTTTCCGAATTTTCCGTTCCACCTTAAATGGTGCAGCAGTTACATTACGGCGCGCGAGGCCCCAGAACGTAACTGCTGTACCATTTAAGGTGGAACGGAAAATTCGAAAAAAGAAGCTGGCAATGAGTGTGTGCGAGTTATTACACCGCAACCCAAGGGCAATAATGAAGGTTCCTGATGACAGATAGAGCAAAATAAATACCCGGACAGTGATTATACAACATGAAAACACTCGGCAGTTCCATGAAAATAAACGAATCACGGCGATGGATGGATGGCGAGCGTTCATCCACCACCGTTCGTCCATTCGTCTTTGTCTTTAGACGAGCCTTTTTCAGAACAGGCTTGGAACAAAAATACTACTAAAAGGAACACGATACGAAACCTACAGACTAAAGGACTCGGTAAAAAATCAAAACCAAGCTCTGACATTCGCCGTACAGGCGGTAAACAAGGCTCCTCACTCACCTTTTGGATCCTTTTCAACGCCATTTGCTCGCTGTATTGCAGCAGCAGCCTGTATCACTGTATCAGTCTACACGGCCTTATGCAGTTTGAATGGGAGAAAGCTGCTGCTGTTGTTTATCCTCGTTTTACTTCCAGCTCTCAAAGCGACGCCGGCGCAAAACCGAGGCTTGAAACATTTACACACTCGTTTGAGCGACAGTGGCTGTGATTTCGGTAATTCTTGCCCCGCTCTGCCCTCACTGACAGCTTTTTGGTGGGGTACAAGACAGCATACGCTACTCTCGCGATACTAAGCGACCAGCAAGGCCTCCGAGATCTTAGCTGACGAGAGATGAAACGGGCCGCTGGGAAATGTAGTTTTTTGATCGTCCACGTACTGGAAGCAGAGACGTTATAAAGGTTTTGTTCGGCTGGAAATAACAGCCTGCTGGCGGCGTAGCAGTAATGGCCGCCGAGTGGACAGACTTTCCTATAAGGACTTTAAAGTCCTGTATGTACTTCCTCCTTGTTTCTACGCGCATTGTCCATTTTATCAGCTCCAATTACTATATAGGTGCACTTTGTAGTTCTACAATTACAGACTGTAGTCCATCTGTTTCTCTGCATACTTTGTTAGCCCCTGTTCTTCAGTGGTCAGGACCCCCATGGACCCTCACAGAGCAGGTACTATTTGAGTGGTGGATCATTCTCAGCACTGCAGTAACACTTACGCGGTGGTGGTGTGTTAGTGTGTGTTGCGCTGGTACGAGTGGATCAGACACAGCAGTGCTGCTGGAGTTTTAAACAGTGTGTCCACTCACTGTCCACTCTATTAGACACTCCTACCTTGTCAGTCCACCTTGTAGATGTAAAGTCAGAGACGATAGCTCATCTGCTGCTGCACAGTTTGTGTTGGTCATCCTCTAGTCCTTCATCAGTGGTCACAGGATGCTGCCCACAGGATACTGTTGGCTGGATATTTTTGGTTGGTGGACTATTCTCAGTCCAGCAGTGACACTGAGGTGTTTAAAAACTCCAGCAGCACTGCTGTGTCTGATCCACTCAGTACGTAGTATAGAGAGTAGTATGCATTATTCCAAATTTTGTATAATGCTAATGTTATGCATATCTGTTACGTGTGGGATGCATTATCACCAATAGCCACAGGCTTCCACCTCACAGTGACCCGCCCCCCCACCACACAAACAACCCGCACCCCAGACACAAAATAACGCAAATAAAACATTACACAGCTTTTAACTAATAGACAACATAAACAACAACACTAAAAGTCCCTTTACCGGAGGGCATGTACCTCCCATGAGCCTCCTCACATGGCCCTTCACACGGCTACGTTTATGTATATATGTATATATGTATAAACGTAGCTATTGTGTAGAACATACTATATATAAAGTACTCATCTGCAACATGTTGCATCGTCTTGTTGGGTATGTAATTTGTAGTAGTTTTCTTCTTTTCTACACAATTAAACATTTAAGACTGGTGGTTTATGTGAAATGCTCAATTATAGAGAAACTTCGAGTCAAAAAAGTTCACAGTGGAGGTGATAGGAACCAGATGTCCACCTCTAAAAGCTCCCTCACAGTTATTACATGAAATAAGACATTTTTTTGTCTCTGATGTTATAACATTATTATTATAATTATTATTATTATTATTATTATTATTATTACACGCATATGTTAGTCAAGGCTTATTAAAGAGCAGCTGGGAGTTATGAACGCGAGCTGGGAAGCGGAAAGTTTAGACTGGTGTGAATGAACATCTGATCCACTAGATGTCGCTGTTGGTCATGATATTCAGCCCATCCGGCGCGCTCAGCGCTCTGAACACATGATCAGTCTAGAAAGAACAATGATCCTTCTGCATTCAGAGCACTTTTATTTTTTGTACCTGGAACTTAGACACGAGTGGATCAGACACAGCTGTGCTGCTGGAGTTTTTAAACACTGTGTCCATTCACTGTCCACTCTATTAGACACTCCTACCTTGTTGGTCCACCTTGTAGATGTAAAGTCAGAGACAATAGCTCATCTGCTGCTGCACAGTTTGTGTTGGTCATCCTCTAGTCCTTCATCAGTGGTCACAGGACTGCCAGGACCAAGGGCTATCCTTCAACCCCAGGCCTCCAACACAATGTTATTTAAAAAGAACTCTTTCAATTCTGGCTAAACACTTACACTAATAACTGTTTTAAGTCTATTATTGATTACATGTCTAATCTCCTTACTTATTGATTAATGGTGTATTTATTCAAAATCTTCATCAGAATGCTGTCGGCTGGATATTTTTGGTTGGTGGATTATTCTTAGGGGTCCTGACCACTGAAGAACAGGGTAAAAGGGGGCTAACAAAGTATGCAGAGAAACAGATGGACTACAGTCTGTAATTGTAGAACTACAAAGTGCACCTATGTAGTAAGTGAAGCTGATAAAATGGACAATGAGTGTAGAAACAAGGAGGTGTTCCTATAAAGTGCTCACTATATGTATGAATTGAACACATTGGGAGAAAAATAAACATCAAATGTGGCCTGTTACGTTTCAGATATGTGTTAAACTCAGCCAATGAAGAGAAATTGTGCAAAAGCTTGCAGAAAAATGCAAAAAATTAATGAAAATAACACGGCAGTGAGCTCCTCTTTACTCACTGCAGTGCAACAGGTCGTTCCACAGCACTTAGACTGCAGCGCTCTCTTCAGCAGGGCCTTCTCTTCCCTTCTGAATGCGAGAGCTCCTCCCCCGCCCTCTTTAATTCTCTTTCTTATCACATGCATGAATATCAAGTGGCTCAGGCTGATCCTCTTTTTTGTAATGTAATACAGAGTTGCAGTACACTCCTCTTTGTGTCTGGATTTACCTAAAAATACCTTAAGTGCCCAGTGTGACTCTCTCTTTTTGCCCTAAAGCAGACTCATGATGGATCTGAATGAACTCCAGGTGCTTCTGCTATCACCCTCTGCTATTACCTTCTCAGGTAAACAGAGCAGAGGATCATTGTTTACTGGTTTAAAAGAGAGCAAGACGTATGACTTAAGGCCCTAAGGTGCAATAATAATACACCTGTTATCTTAAAGTGAAAGAATGCCATGCTTCATTTATAAAAAATTAAGGTTCTTAAAAAAAACTTTAATTGCTATAGAAACTATGTGTACAATGTCTTAAACCCCTTAAATGCCTCGACTAAGAATTTTTAATCCAGAGTTTTAATTTAACAATGTGATTTCACGGTGATTTTGCATGGGCCCTATAGATCTAGCTTCACCATTATAGCTGCTCCTCTGTACTGCTGCTCATTCTCTGAGGCCTTCTGGCCTCTTGGTGGTCCCTACCTTTAAAGGAAGGGTTCGTCAGAAAATCAAATTCACACAATTTACCTCTTACCCCAGATGTAGTCAATCAGCCAAGATATGTTGAGTGCAAATTTTGCTTATTTAGTTTCACGCTGGAGCTGATGTTGCTAACAAACACTAGAAGTCAATAGTCACCCAAATCTCTTCTGTAAATACATCCCCAAAACTTTTCTCAACCCACTCAAACTGCATCCAGGCCTTCATTAAGGCCCCACAGGCTGTCAGTTTGGTTTAGAGCACATTGTGATTTACTGCAAGCTACAAAAAATCAACAAAACATCTCTGACTCCCCTTCATGTGCCACAGATTATGTTCTTGATTTCTGTTGTTTCTTTGTATAAATACCTGCTAATCTTGCATTTGTGGACTGAAGATTTATATTTACAAACAGAAACAACAGCAATGGTGAGCGTAACGAAGCGTCCGTATGCCTGCGTGATGTGCAAGTACATAAAGGTAAGCTGGATTCAACAACTCTAAGTTTTGTTCATTTTTATAGCTCAAAGTAAGCCGTACTGTATCCTAAATCATATTAACAAATATGTGCAACATTAATGAAGACCTGGATGAAGTTTATGTTGGTTGAGAAAAGTTTTGGGGATGTATTTACAGAAAACAGTTGCCTATTGACTTCTACTGTTAACAACATTAACCTCCAGCTCTAAACTAAAGAAGTAAAATTTGGACACCAGCCATGTCTTGGCTGATCGACTACATCTGAGGGTGGAAAATGATGTAAATTCGATTTTTCACCAAACCATTTCTTTAAAATGTCCACTTGGGGGCAGATCTTTCATAGTCATGGCCCCTAAATCATGGCCCTCTCTTCATTTATCTCTTTAACTCTGAGCTAATGAAACCAATCAATAATAAGAGTTTCCATAGCGAAGTGAATTGTGTTTTGAATGTGTGCACATGCTCGCTCAGAAACTACTAAACTTTAAAGGGACTATATTCTAAATTTTTCCTTGAATGTACCAAAAGCAGATATTGGGCCTCTTTCACCAACCATTCGTAAGAAAAAGAGAGAGAAAAAGAGAGCAAGACGTATGACTTTAGGCCCAAAGGCCCTAAGGTGCAATAATAATACACCTGTTGTCTTAAAGTTTTAAAATACTGGGGTGGCACCGTGACCTGGGTTCGATTCCCCGGCCGGGCGACTGGGTCCTTTCTGTGTGGAGTTTGTATGTTCTCCCTGTTTCTGCTTCGGTTTCCTCCCACAGTCCAAAGACATGCAGTCAGGCGAACTGGAGATGCTAAATTGCCCCAAGGTGTGAATGTAAATGTAATTTAAAATTCTCGATTTTAAGATTCCTGACATTCACCAATATGTCTACACACACTCAAGTGCACAAAGGTGTGAACAGTTCTGCTCTTTAAGAACACGTCATGAGTCTGACGTAGACTTTTTCTTAGGACCTTTCTCAAGAACATGTTTAAGCAAAAACGTAGGAAGATATTAGTGAACCATTTTCCAACCTATTAGGATTTAGAGTTTTACTGTGCCTTTAAAACTGATATATGTAAATGAGCTCAGTTCTGTATGTAAACTGGCTGCTCTGTATTGTACATTATTTAAAAAGCAGTCCAGGCTGAAACACTCTGTACAACTTCAACATGAGTTGGCCGGGGCTAAACTGCTGCAGGCTGAATAAGAGGATATACGTAAATATGTTTGATTTCATAACATCACAAGAACAAATAATTCTTAACGGACAGTTTTTGCAGCTTTGTTTCCATATATGAACTGTATGGACTAGAGAGTGAAGAATATGTGTACATAATACATCAAACTCTTGAAAAATTTTGATTTCTGTTACGGGCCCTTCAACGAGAAATAGCCGCAGACGTACCACTTTGTTTCCAGTGGGTGTGTTTTTCTTGATTGGTCACTTTGCATGTAGTAGGCAGTTCATGGCCACAGAAC